TTTACATCATTAAATAGACTCTGCAATGTCTTATTGCAGAATCCCACAGCATTTAGCAATAAAACATTCTGTAAACAGGATAGCTATTGAAATCCTGGGTTGAATTGATGGGATGCTGTCTGCTCAGGGAAGTGATGAAAGGTGTTGCATGGTTATTTGATGTGACACAACCTGAAAGTGATTACATGTTTACCGTATGAAATGATACAATAAATAAAGTTGTAATGCTATAAAAAGTATGATCTCGGTTAAACCAGATTATAAAAAAGTCTAATAAAAAGTCTAAAAGCCCAGGAACTACTGTCTAGCATTGTTACACCTACTGCCTACAGATCATTGTGCAATGCCTCTGACATAAAACATTTATAAACTATACAATTATTATATATTACGTGTGAAACGCTCTATCAATATATGAAATATAATTCCAATCTTGCGGGAAGCCTTCATCTAAAGGAAGTGTCCTCCAAAAGTGTTTAGCTCTCATGAAGTTCTCACGAAGCTCTCCCACCGGCAGGCTGTGTCATACCGTAATTATGGGATTGCTTGCTTGTGTCTGTGTCATAGCGCTAGATTCCAGGAAAAAAAAATATATACTTTGGGGAACCATTTACCCATCGATATTAATTTTATCAATACTGTAAGATTTATGAATTGCATCATTATTGAATTGGGGCATAAAATACAATATCTGTCCTATAAAGCTGAAATCCTCCATAGGCATAACAGCGCCACTGGCCGCCCAGGTGCATTTGTTATTGTTTTTGTTTTGAGGAAATGAGCGTCCAGCGTCATGGTAAAAACAAATCTTAGTACATACTCTGCTGTTCTATCGCACGTGCAATGATGTGCGAGTGAAAAAAAACTTGTGTAATCAAACTTTGTCATCAAAGTCTGGCATTTTCTGGATTTATGCTGCTTTCAAGACAACTGGGAATTCGGAAAAAAAACAAGGTTGAATCATGATGACATCAGTGATTTTCAGGTCGTAGCTCTAGAAAGAGGCCCGAGTTCCGGATTTACAATAGGCCCTTTTCACGTGACGTCAGACAACTTCCGTTCTGCCGCGATGCAGGTTATGTTTACATCCGGTGTCGCTTAGGAACGCTTAGCTAGTAGCACATCATTATGGAGTTCACCCAGTCCCTTTCACATCTGCCACCAATACGACTTAACGACGTAGAACGACTTGCTGACAAGTGGTCCCTTACTTCAAGATCGAAGCTTGATAAAGGCTACAAGTTCTTCGTTGAAGGTTACCTGTTTGATTATGAAGGTACGTGTTTATCTTTATTTAGCTTAAATTAGCCCTATGCTAGCGAAGGTTATGAGCTGACGAGTTTCTGTTTTGCAGCCTCTTTTTAATATTACTGCTGTTTGTATCGACCGTAAGATAAGAGTCAGTAATGTATTAATGGCTAATGCTGCGCCCTTTCTCCCAATCACTGTATTGAAACAGTCTCAAGTGTAGTTAACGGTGAGGTGACAGTGAGAGGGCGATGTTACAGGTCCATGAAGAAAAATGAGGAGGCTCATCGGCTTCAGGTTTCTCAGATAAACAGTTCTCTAACATTATGATAAGATAGGTTAAGATAGATAAGTTTTCTTTTTGTTGTGTTTTGCTGCGGTTGCAGATTTAATAAGAATGATTCCACAAAGTTCCACTGTGGATCAGTTTGTTTCTCAGTCTGAGCTCTGATTTTGTATCATTAAACTTAATACACAACGAAATTCTTACAAACCGATGTGGGTTGTTGACGGCAATAAAGACTGGGAAAGATTCTGTGATAACTCAAAATGTTCAAATTTTCGATAAGTGTTGGCACTACTTGTCAAAGGTTTCAGAACAGCCAGTTTTTCTTAATTAAAAAAAGAAATTGGGTTTTGAAAATTGTGTACAGTAGTTTATAATGAAACGCAGAAAAAATGTTTTGTAAGTACAGCACTAATTGTTATGTCTCTATGAACAGGTTACACTAGACTCTGCAGAGGTTCCTGTGGTACTCAATCACATGTCATGTTCCTGCTCTGCTGGGAAAGCACTATGTAATCACATAGTAGCACTTCTTTTTCAAAGTGCTCACTATGTTACCATGGGCTTTAAGACAGTGCCATTGCCTCTGTCATGCACCAGCGCACTGCAGACCTGGCACCGGCCTAGGACACAGGTCAGACATTATTTGTTACACTGATGCAGAACTTTGCAGTTTGTATTGACTTTTGACAATGTATTGTTCATCATTATTATATCACAGGGAATTGTACCAGAGGCCACCAATGATATGGCGGTGTGTAAACCAGCGGCTAAGAAAAAAACAAGTGTCAGAGCTGGTGTGAAGTGCACACTGTACCGAGCCTATGATGGTGAGTCTGAATGAGCCCCCGCCTGTACTAGAGCACAAAGACTTTAGTGCATTTCTAAAATAATACAAACATAAAAGTGATTATTATTTGTTACTTTTTATATAGACTTTCAGTGGATATTTTTTTATTTGTATTAGAAGCATGTACGAGACTGGATGAGTGTGGTTGTCTTTTTTAGTGAAAAAGATAAGGTGGCATTTAATGAAATCTAAACTTGACATATCTCACTTTCATGCCAGGGCCTATTCCGGATCCTCACGTCATGGCCAGTGCTGAGAAACTGAAAGACATCCGTCCACAACCAGGGATTTGCAAATTGCTGCACGGGCTTGAGGGCCTTAATTTGGTGGACTCTAAATTTGGCCCTGTGCCATTTGGGTCTGTGCTTTCTTACCAGTGCACCCTATAAAATAGGGTGTATCTATCCTCAGGGGGAAAGTGCTGACTGCAAACAAAGGTGCTCCCACGAAGAATCTTAAAACTTGGTCCCTCATCTCTCCTGATCGCCCTCACCCAACGGGCACGTATTTCTCCATCAACAGGGAAATCGTGAAAACTCAGATACGGGAATTTCTGTTTGTTGTTTGAACAAAATGGTACACTGCAATAGCATCTTCTCGAAGATTGTGCCATGCTTCGGTGTTGGATGGGATACTGTTGCGATACAGACACCGGGAGAAAAGAAACAGCTAAATTAACATTCAGCTTTGACCAGGAATCAATATTTATCTAGCTATCATGCACAACAGTATTTGAATAGGTGAGTTACTATACATTCATGAATAAACTAACTGCCTAACAAAGGGTTAGATAGCTAGCTAAGTAAACTTGTTACATTACAGCCAGGCAGCAATGTAACGCTACCTTTTAACGTTATCGGTATCTGGTACTAAGTTGTTGTTAGCTAACGTTAGCCCACTTTTAAGTAACTAAGGCAGTGAACAATTATGAATTAATAATAACGTTAGCAAGTTACAAACCATTGCATATACGTAAACATTATTACTCTTAACTTTACTAATTTAACTTAAACGTACCTTTTGGAATTTCTTCAAGTAGCTAGCTTGCTAGTTAGTGGTCAACAGTTGTATTTTCGTTGAGAAGTCTCAGGTTACGGGCGAACGGAAGTGAAGTTAACCTGCTACGCGGAAAGGCGGAAGTTAGATGACGTCATCGTGAAAAGGGCCTATTCCGAGTTGGATAACCGTTCAAACCGTATTTTCCCAGTCGGAGCTAGTTTTTTCCCGAGTTCCCAGTTGTCATGAACTCAAGTCAGATTTCGCAGTTCCGAGTTAACAGTTGTTTTGAAAGCGGCACAAATCATGTTTTTTTGTTTTTGTTAAAAATGTGGTGCTCAAAACAGGTGGAGCTCTGCCCAACCTGCCCTGAATGACGGGTCGCCACTGCCTGAGACCATTGAGACACAGTATGTGGGAAGGATAGTTCCTTTCATTGCCCGATGTTGGAAGATTGAAGATGCTGACTGAAACATAAGAGTACTTTTCCACAGCTGGATTGTGTACCAGCTAACAATGAATGAAAGCCAACAATGTAAAAATTACCTGGGGTGTTGACAGCCTAAGTGTCAATGTAACCTCATTATTTCATAGTTATGCTCCTGTAAAGTAGCTAAACTACTCTAGACTATTTTAATCCCTATTTAAATGATTCACCTCGTGTTTATTTGCTGTAGGTGGTTGGCAGCATAGTCCATAGTGACAGGACAGATGAGTAAAGGTTGGCATGCTACTGCTACTGATCAGTTCAAGATCAATGTGTCAATGTAAATTACAGTAATGTATATATTACACACATATTACACTAGAGGCCCAGACGCTAGAGAAGAGGACCAGTAGCCAGAAGGTTCGAATCCAAGGCCGGGTATTAAAAATGAACTGACAACCAGAATGCACCTGGTATTAGATCTTCTCCTTAACCCAATCATAGTGCCAGAGGCACTGCACTGCGGCTGACCCTGTGCTACTCCCAATGTATGGTGTTTTTCCACATCTGATGGGCTATAGTGCTACAGGCGCAGGTGTTTTGATTGATGGGCATCATGGGCCGTTGCACTAAAGTAGTTTGGGGCCGCATCGGTGTCCTCTCTCTTTCTTTTTTATATTTACTTTTGTTTTGATAAATCAATGTCATATCACTCGTTTACACATTACTTAAGATGATGGAGAGAATCCTTCCCTCTTATACATGCAATAACACATTTTTCTGAGAGAGTGATACATTCTACAATTCTAAGTACACTAAGTGTTTTTAGCACTTAGTAATTTAGAATGTAAAATACACAATAGATTGATGTCAGCAAGTAAGACAAATATAAGTCAATATACCAATTATTTAGCGGATATGACTATTGATTTATTTTTTATTTTAAGCTTGTTGAGCTTTATTTCAAGCTTTTTTTGTGTCTGAATACAGCTTTTGGGGTATTTTTTCTTCCAATTCATAGTACATTACAGTACATTATGAAAAGTAATTTCGATTAAGGCAGTGTTTTTGTCTTCGTCAAAATGTCTTTGTTGTGGAAAATGTATTTGGTGTCTGTCATCACCTTGATTTCCTTCCTCTTATTTGATGATGGGGGTTTTGCCAGCGATGACTCACTGACATTGCTTAACTTCACAGGCTTTAGGTGTATATAAGACGTCCCCTGGCCACACACCACACAAACAAGACGCTCTCGAGGAAGAAGCATGAAGACTTTCATTCTGTGCTTACTACTAGTCAACCTGGCAATAGTGGTTTACTCTTTGCCAATATCGCCACCTACTGAAGAAGATGAAGTTCTTGCAGAGGTATGCTTTTTGTCACATCTTTTGCTAGAAGGGTCTATATGGGTTTTACAACTGAAATTATTATGATAGAACAGATGTGTACATGTAACATCATATGGCTTGGTCAGGTTGTTATTGCAAAACAGAATATTGACTTACCCGGTTAAATAAAGACTAAATGAATATACATTCTAATGAGTTATGTTGAACTATTGAAGTGCAAGAACTATTGAAATCCCTGCTTAGTTAGTTGCTATACTCATAACACAGTAAAGTAGTTGTTTATTTTAACTCTTGCTGTGTGAGCCTTGTACACCTACCATAGGATATTATATTCATAACTGTAGTAAATGGCACCATAATGTCCTATCATATTAACATCATGCTTGCTCTGTTTTCTGTAGACGTACCTGAAGAGATTTTTTAACCTGACAGAGGAGACGGGTCCTACGGCCAGACGGGGGCCCAGCCAGCGGAGCAGGAAGGTCAGCGAGATGCAAACGTTCTTTGGCCTCCAGGTGACAGGCACCTTGGACGCTGAGACCGTGACGATGATGAAGAAGCCACGCTGTGGGGTACCTGATGTCCAACCCAGCCGTTTCACCACCTTCGACAATCGCAAGTGGCAGACCAACCAGGTTACCTACAGGTGAGAGGAGTGAGAAAGCATAAATACACCACGGTCAAATGTGTATAAGACAAAATAGAGCTTGTAATGTTAACATTTAGTTAATTGCAATATCAATCAGGTGGTCTTTAAACACAAAGGCAAGTATCCACTTAGTGTGGATAATAACGTTTTTGTATTTGCAAACATCAAGTTAGAGTGATAAGCCTTGAGATTGTCAGGGATTGCTGAACCAAAAAATTATTTTCAACATTGAGAAATGTTTTGACTGTTGGTGTATTGTGTTCTTCAGGATTGAGAACTACACCCCTGACATGTCTGTGGCTGAGGTGGACAACTCCATAGAGAGAGCACTACAGGTGTGGGCCAAGGTCTCCCCCCTGAGGTTCACCCGCATCTACAGCGGCACCGCTGACATCATGATCTCCTTCGGCACCAGAAGTAAGCAACTTTTATCCTACCAAACGCAATGTTAATGTGACCAACTGAAACAGAATTCATTCAATATTAAGAAAGTCTAACCTGGAAGTACTTGCGTGGGTTTCTGGATATGTTTTTAAAAGCTACACTGTAACTGAAAACTGTAATTTATACAGTAATTTTGGTATAGTAAAATACTGTGAAACGTTTACTGTAAATTATGATGCATTGTGGGAACATTTTGTGGGTGGGGAAGGAATTGCTGTATTTCGAATGGTAGTGTAATTCCATCCCACAGAATACAGTACCAGATCGTATTTTTGGAGTGCCAAAAACCTTTTTTCCACTAGTGAGTGCATGGCATTGTTGTCTGGCTCATTAACATATTATGTGGTGGGCCTTGAAAGAGGCTATATTTGTTGCACCTGTTAGTGAGAGTGCTGTTCCACTTTAACTGGTATGTGGTAGTAGTGCCCCATCAATTACAATGTATAGGGGACAGATTAGAGTGGCTGCAAGTCTTAAACCTTTAATGCTCAACCTCAAATTACCAACCTGTTTGCAACAATCCCACGTAATTACAGTAAAATACAAACCCCACCTCCCCTCAGTGAATATAATTCATTCATCCATTCATTACAGTCTAATACAGCCAATTTTACAGTATTGTACTGTGTGTAGTTACACAGTACATGCTTAGATACTATACTTAGAATACAGTCGGTATATTGCAATATGAAATACAGTAACTTACTAACCACTAGCTGCCTGTAAGTTACTGTCAAATTCACGTTAACCCCTTTACAGTGTACTATAATACACTAATAAGCTGATGTACGAAAATGTCATACTGTACATGTTCACAAAGAATGCATCCATTTAAAAAGGGAACATGCAGTATGTACTGTACAGTGCTTTGTTTTGAAAGACACACAGACACTTCAAAGGCTCTCAGGATGTTTTTGTATAGCAGGGTTAGAAAGGGAGGGCTGTAGGGAGATACCTGTGGAGGATCCACTGTTTACATTCCTCTTGTCAGAGCATAGTGCAGGTATAGGCCTATTCAGGGGCACCCTCCGCTCCATACCACTTACATAACCAACATCACCACCACTCGTAAACACAGACATCCACAATGGTCTCAGTGGCTTGCTACTGCACTTTAATCTGTCTTGTACATGTTTTGATGAGTTGAAAGAATGGAGAGACACCCAGATACCACTTACATAACCAACATCACCACTCGTAGTCTTAAACACACACATCCACAGTGGCATCAGTATCATGTCACTGCTCGCCCCTCACTATAATCCGTATTTACAGTTTGATGAGTTGAAAGGGTGTTATTAGAGCCACTCTGCCTTATTTCACCCTCTGAGGTGTTACGATGGGCTCCCTATAAGTGCATCGGTTTTAAGAAACTAACATTTGATACAAATAATTTGAATATAAATGTTTATACAGTATGGATTTGTCCTCGTCTCTGATGGCTCAAACTATGATTTCTCCCATCTGTGTAGATCATGGTGATTTTTACCCCTTCGATGGCCCGGATGGCACCCTGGCCCATGCCTTTCCGCCTGGTCCTGACATTGGAGGAGATGCTCATTTTGACGATGACGAGTACTTCACCTTCAGCTCAACCAGAGGTGAGACCCTCTATCACAACAATATGTGGAACATGACTTAATTTACCCTGTTTCAATTCTAGGACAATCCTGGGTGACATGTCATGATAATTGCCACAAAAGAGTAGAAGATCTGTACCAGTAATTATGTATTATCATCATATAGGGTACAACCTGTTCTTGGTGGCTGCACATGAGCTTGGCCATTCCCTCGGTCTCAGCCACTCCAAAGACCCTGGAGCACTGATGTTCCCAGTGTACAGCTACACAGACCCCAGCACCTTCTCTCTGCCTCGCGATGACGTCAACGGTATCCAGTACATCTATGGTCAGTATTCAATTATCTTTTCTCTTTCTGCCCAGTTTGCTTTAGCTTTATATTGCTGTATTCCACTTTGTTTGCTTTTGACTGATCAACAAAAAGGTTCAGGCCAAATACGTTATATTATTGATCTCCAAGTAAATCAATTATGAGACTTGAGAACTGTGCATTTTTTACAGGAACTTGAATTTATGAGTATCTGTGTCCTCCAGGTCCAAACCCAGATGTGAACCCCAACCCAGACAAGCCAGATCCTACACCCCCTTCCACCCCTGATGCCTGTGATCCCACCCTGGTTCTGGATGCTGTCACCACTCTGCGTGGGGAGAAGATGTTCTTCAAGGGCAGGTACAGCAAATCATGTAGCCTAGATCAAATGTTCAGTGACTTATGGTAACCTACAGCTCAAAAACAGTCAATGAATGACACAGTTTCCAAGGGAAACAGGTTGCCTGTTCATGTGATCCAGAGCTCTAACGTCCTCATGTCTTCCCTCCATCCTCAGGTTCTTCTGGCGTAGCTACTCTCAGAGCAGCACCCCACAGCAGAACCTCATCAAGACCTTCTGGCCCGGACTCCCCGACAACATCAATGCTGCTTACGAGAGCCAGCTATCTGACAGAGTGTTCCTCTTCAAAGGTATGGCAGAGTCACCAAATGCCTCAAATTAGCCCTGGTATGGCTGTAGTCTCCATAACATGTCTAGAGACAAGAACAGTGGAGGCTACAGCCATTTATAGAGCTAGCCTCATACACTACTACTACACTACAGGCTAGTACACTATACAATATGGCTGTAATGAATACTGTGTGAATACGTGAACCTGTTAAAGAGTCATATCTCAGTAATACTGTCTCTGTCCCTGCAGATCGTCAGGTCTGGGCTCTCTCCGGCTATGACATCGTCCCCGGCTATCCCAAAAACCTGAACAGCTTGGGTCTGCCCAGTACCGTGAAAAAAGTAGATGCCGCCCTGTACGATGTAGATTCTCGCAAGAGCTTGTTCTTTGTTGGTGACTACTACTACAGGTTAGTGGAGTCTAGTTTATCATTACAAGTTATTGCATTTTTATTCACTTTTCTATGTACTGTATATTGCCATTAGATATTGATGTCAAGAGTATCACAATCTCACTAATATTTCTGTTACCGTAGTTACGATGAGGAAATGAAAAGGATGGACAAAGGTTTCCCCAAGCGTGTGGATGAAGGGTTCCCAGGCATGACAAGCAAAGTGACTGCAGCCTTCCAAGTCCGAAGTGAGTGTGATACAGCATCTAAACACAACTGTGCATTACAAGCCAATCATATGGAAATATACAAAATATGATTTCATACCTTCTACAGTTTTCATTTAATATAAAAAAATCCCCTGAATAGTCCTTTTAATGCATATTTTAGATGTTGAGTATTGATAGTTTGTCAGTGCAGCATCCCACTGGGCACAGACATCAATTCAACATATTTTCCTTGTTGGTTCAACGTCAAAATGACGTGGAAACAATGTTGATTCAACCAGTGTGTGCCCAGTGGGATGTCTCTAACCTCTCTACCCTATATGGTTTTACAGGCTTCACCTACCTTTATAGTGGCTCCTACGTGTTTGAGTACAGCATGAGGACCAGGAGACAGTTACGTGTGCTAGGAAACAGCTACTTCCTGCCCTGTTAGAACATCGAGCCTCATGAGCCGTTTAAAGTAGCAGCCGTGAACAACAATGAATGCAGCCAAATAACAGTTGTATTTTTTTTCTAATACGTAATGTTGTTGTAATTTAGAAATTTTACAGATTTGTTTTCTAATACATATTGTCACATATCTATTTAAATATATATTCATGTATCTAAATTATTTGATATGTTTCTTGATTAAATCGTAACCTAAATAATCAGAAGAAATTAATGTCTTGAATGAAGGCCAAACACATTTTTACACTTTGCATATTCAAATAAATTCCAAGTTATTGTGATTTCTGTGTTATTGTGATTTTTTGCCTTTTACTATGGTGGACTTATGGTGGAAACATTATGAAGCATAGATTTGTATTTGATCCATTGCTGATGAAGCCTTAGATGACATTACCAAACAATTCCCTTAAACAAATATACAACCCACAGAGGGTCCTACTAATCACCCCAAACAGGTACCCTAAACAACCACAAACAACCCCAAACAAACCCCAACAACCACAAACAGGTACCCCAAACAACCACAAACAGGTAATCCAAACAACCACAAACAGGTACTCCAAACAACCGCAAACAGGCACCCCAAACAACCACAAACAGGTACCACAAACAACCCCAAACAGGTACCCAATAGAACCTAAAAGTACCACGTCCCCAAACAACCCCAAACAATGAGAAGCAACCAGCTGCAGATTATGCATGCTGAGGCCACCTGGTATGCGTACCTCAAAGTGCTATTTTTGGGGGGTATTTTTGCATCTCAGTTTGTATGTGTGCATGCAGTGCTCTAACGCCCTGGACCAGAGCTATAATCTGTCACTAGCTCTGGTCCAAGGAATAGCTAGTAGCTAGATAGCTGTGGTCCAACCTAGCTCTGGTCCAGGGCATTGCTAGTATCGCAGGTCCGTACTTGCTCTGGTCCAAACTAGCTAACTACTAGCTAGAAGCTAGCTAACTACTAGCTATACCCTGGACCAGAGCTACTGCAAACCAGCGCTACTAGCTACACCCTGGACCATAGCTAGTTAGTGTGGACCAGAGCTAGACCAGAGTTAATGCAGTTCATAGCTAGCTAGCTATTAGCTACGCTCTGGACCAGAGCTAGTGTGGACCAGAACTAGCTAGCTACTAGCTATACCCTGGACCAGAGCTAGTTAGCTACTAGCTACGCCCTGGATCAGAGCTAGTGCGTACCAGAGCTACTAGCTATGCCCTAGACCAGAGCTAGTGTAGACCAGAACTAGCTAGCTACCAGCTATGCCCTGGACAGAGCTAGTGACAGATTATAGCTCTGGTCCAGGGCATTAAGAGCACTGCATGCGCAAATACCAACTGAGACGCAAGCGCTTTGAGGTTTGCAGACCAGGTGGCCTCGGGGTGCATAATCTGCAGTTGGATGCTTCTTGTTGTTTGGGGTACTTTTGGGTTCTTTTTGGTACCTGTTTTGGGTTGTTTGGGGTGATTAGTAGGACCCCCAATGGGTATCTGTATTAAGGTACATGAAAGCATAACAAATGGAATGGATAATATTTTTATTTTATTTTTATTTCACCTTTATTTAACCAGGTAAGCCAGATGAGAACAAGTTCTCATTTACAACTGCGACCTGGCCAAGATAAAGCAAAGCAGTGCGATAAAAACAACAACACAGAGTTAGATATGGGGTAAACAAAACATAAAGTCAAAAATACAAACAGAAAATATATATACAGTGTGTGCGAATGTAGTAAGTTATGGAGGTGTCATAGTTAGCTAGCTGAATAAAGTGGGTTGAGTCTATTCCTTTAAACATTGAACCGCTGTGGTTCACAACAATTCTGATTTCTAAAGGTGGAAGTTGGGAGAGTTTTTGTTCGGGTGGTTCAGTGAAACAATTTTAGTTTCTGAGGTAGAAGTTTTTGGTGAGGGAGGCCCTGCTCTCTCCTCTCCCAGATGCTTAGCTCATTTCATTCCGATCTCCTCTGCATTTTTGTAGCCATTTGCTACAGCCTGTCAACTATGCCTCTGCCTATCCCTGTTCTCTCCTCTCTGCACAGGCTACACAAACGCACCACACCGCGTGGCTGCTGCCTCTCTAACCTGGTGGTCCCTGCACGCACCCCACACCTGGAGTTCCAGGTCGCAGGCAGCCTCTGGAACTGCCGTTCTGCTGCCAACAAAGCTGACTTCATCCCAGCCTATGCCAACCTCCAGTCCCTCGACTTCCTGGCGCTGACGGAAACATGGATCACCACTGAAAACACTGCTACTCCTACTGCTCTCTCCTCGTCTGACCATGTGTTCTCGCATACCCCGAGAGCATCTGGTCAGAGGGGTGGTGGTACAGGAATCCTCATCTCTCCCAAGTGGACATTCTCAATTTTTCCCCTAACCCATCTGTCTATCTCCTCATTTGAATTCCATGCTGTCACAGTCACTAGCCCATTTAAGCTTAATATCCTTGTCATCTATCGCCCTCCAGGTTCCCTTGGAGAGTTCATCAATGAGCTTGACGCCTTGATAAGTTCCTTTCCTGAGGATGGCTCACCCCTCACAGTTTTGGGGGATTTCAACCTCCCTATGTCCACATTTGACTCATTTCTCTCTGCCTCCTTCTTTCCACTCCTCTCCTCTTTTGACCTCACCCTCTCACCGTCCCCCCCTACTCACAAGGCAGGCAATACGCTTGACCTCATCTTCACTAGATGCTGCTCCTCTACTAATCTCACTGCAACTCCCCTCCATGTCTCCGACCACTACTTTGTTTCCTTTTCTCTCTCGCTCTCCTCCCACACTACTCACTCTGCCCCTACACAGATGGTAATGCGCCGCCGCAACCTTCGCTCTCTCTCTCCCACTACTCTCTCCTCTTCCATCCTATCATCTCTTCCCTCTGCTCAATCCTTCTCCCTCCAATCTCCTGATTCTGCCTCCTCAACCCTCCTCTCCTCCCTTTCTGCATCCTTTGACTCTCTGTGTCCCCTATCCTCCCGGCCGGCTCGGTCCTCCCCTCCAGCTCCGTGGCTTGATGACTCATTGCGAGCTCACAGAACTGAGCTCCGGGCAGCGGAGCGGAAATGGAAGAAAACTAAACTCCCTGCCGACCTGGCATCTTTTCACTCCCTCCTCTCTACATTTTCTTCATCTGTTTCTGCTGCTAAGGCCACCTTCTACCACTCTAAATTCCAAGCATCTGCCTCTAACCCTAGGAAGCTCTTTGCCACATTTTCCTCCCTCCTGAATCCTCCCCCCCCTCCTCTCTCTCTGTGGATGACTTCGTCAACCACTTTGAAAAGAAGGTTGACGACATCCGATCCTCGTTTGTTAAGTCTAATGACACTGCTGGTCCTGCTCACACTGCCCTACCCTATGCTTTGACTTCTTTCTCCCCTCTCTCTCCAGATAAAATCCTGCGACTTGTGACTGCAGGCCACCCAACAACCTGCCCGCTTGACCCCATCCCCTCCTCCCTTCTCCAGACCATCTCCGGTGACCTTCTCCCCTACCTCACCTCGCTGATCAACTCATCCTTGACCGCTGGCCATGTCCCTTCCGTCTTCAAGAGAGCGAGAGTTGCTCCCCTTCTCAAAAAACCAACACTCGACCCCACTGATGTCAACAACTACAGACCAGTATCCCTTCTTTCTTTTCTTTCCAAAACTATTGAGCGTGCCGTCTTTAGCCAACTCTCTTGCTATCTCTCTCAGAATGACCTTCTTGATCCAAACCAATCAGGTTTCAGGACTGGTCATTCAACTGAGACTGCTCTTCTCTGTGTCACGGAGACTCTCCGCACTGCTAAAGCTAACTCTCTCTCCTCTGCTCTTGTCCTTCTAGACCTGTCTGCTGCCTTTGATACTGTGAACCATCAGATCCTCCTCTCCACCCTCTCCGAGCTGGGCATCTCCGGCGCGGCTCACTCCTGGATTGCGTCCTACCTGACCGGTCGCTCCTACCAAGTGGCGTGGCGAGAAGCTGTCTCCGCACCACGTGCTCTCACCACTGGTGTCCCCCAGGGCTCAGTTCTAGGCCCTCTCCTTTTCTCCCTATACACCAAGTCACTTGGCTCTGTCATATCCTCACACGGCCTCTCCTATCATTGCTACGCTGACGATACACAACTAATCTTCTCCTTTCCCCCTTCTGATAACCAGGTGGCGAATCGCATCTCTGCATGTCTGGCAGACATATCAGTATGGATGACGGATCACCACCTCAAGCTGAACCCTGGCAAGACGGAGCTGCTCTTCCTCCCGGGGAAGGACTGCCCGTTCCATGATCTCGCCATCACGGTTGACAACTCCGTTGTGTCCTCCTCCCAGAGTGCGAAGAGCCTTGGCGTGACCCTGGACAACACCCTGTCGTTCTCCGCTAACATCAAGGCGGTGACCCGCTCCTGCAGGTTCATGCTCTACAACATTCGGAGAGTACGACCCTGCCTTACACAGGAAGCGGCACAGGTCCTAATCCAGGCACTTGTCATCTCCCGTCTGGATTACTGCAACTCGCTGTTGGCTGGCCTCCCTGCATGTGCCATTAAACCCCTACAACTCATTCAGAATGCCGCAGCCCGTCTGGTGTTCAACCTTCCCAAGTTCTCTCACGTCACCCCCCTCCTCCGCACACTCCACTGGCTTCCAGTTGAAGCTCGCATCCGTTACAAGACCATGGTGCTTGCCTTTGGAGCAGCGAGGGGAATGGCACCTCTGTACCTTCGGGCTCTGATCAGTCCCTACACCCAAACGAGGGCATTGCGTTCATCCACCTCTGGCCTGCTGGCTCCCCTTCCTCTGCGGAAGCATAGTTCCCGCTCAGCCCAGTCAAAACTGTTCGCTGCTCTAGCACCCCAATGGTGGAACAAGCTCCCTCACGACGCCAGGACAGCGGAGTCACTCACCACCTTCCGGAGACATTTGAAACCCCACCTCTTTAAGGAATACCTGGGATAGGATAAAGTAATCCTTGCAAAATAGTTACAATTTCGTATTAACACTGGAATGATAGATGTGCAAAAGATGATGTGCAAATAGAGATACTGGGGTGCAAATTAGCAAAATAAATAACAATATGGGGATGAGGTAGTTGGGTGGGCTAATTTCAGAATGGCTGTGTACAGGTGCAGTGATCGGTAAGCTGCTCTGACAACTGACGCTTAAAGTTAGTGAGGGAGTTCGTTCCAGTCATTGGCAGCAGAGAACTGGAAGGAATATAATAACATAGACAGAGAATAACAATGAAGGAACTCAATCTTTTACATGCCACACTGATTTAGTATACCACAAGGTATAACTAAACTAATTATTTAGGGAAATTATATTTACATTTTTAGTCATTTAGCAGACGCTCTTATCCAGAGCAACTTACAGTTAGTGAGTTGCAAACGCCATGCTCTACCAACTGAACTACATCCCTGCCGGCCATTCCCTCCCCTACCCTGGACGACGCTGGGCCAATTGTGCGCCGCCCCATGGGTATCCCGGTCGCGGCCGGCTACGACAGAGCCTGGATACGAACCAGGATCTCTAGTGGCACAGCTAGCACTGCGATGCAGTGCCTTAGACCACTGCGCCACTGCCTAGACTGCTAGATCTTTTGTTATTGTCATGGTACAGTTTTGATGAGAAAACTCAGAACCGCTCTGCCATACCAAGCAATGTCCCTCTTGTAATGAAATACAAAGGCCAATGAGTATGAGCAATGGAATATTGTAAAGATTTGGCAATGCGTCAAGTCTATAAAACTTAGTACACTGTGTTCATAACAGATACTAGTTTTGGGAACAGAAAAATGTGTTGAGATCAGATGTTTAATCGATGAGAAAATCAGCAGAACGCCGGCCCAGTTTCACGTAGTTCCATCCTCTCCCACTACCCACGACTAAACTTCCTTCATTACCATATTTGGTGATGAGAAAGTATTCTTCTTCGCTATGGTTTAACGGCGATTGGAATCCAATGTTAATGGTGCATTACCGCCACCAGCTGGACGGGGTATTGAATAAGAAACCATACGTGCACCAATCACTCCCTCGATGTCTTCAATAATATCCTGCCTTTATTTATTGCGCCACCCCAGAAATAACCCCCTTGATAGGCGCCCTCTACGAAAGTCCATACAAAAAACACCAAAAACAAAATATGACCACTTCTTGTTACTCTCACTGACTCCACACTTTCCTCCAACATATTCCAGATTTTCCTCGAGACGTTAAACAGATTTCCCAAGTAGCATTGATCCAAAACCCTCACTCCAACAAAAAACGAGTCTAGTGGTTTCCTATTTTCCACCACAGCTTTACTTCTAATTTCCCTTTTTCTTCGCCACTGTAACCCACTCACTCACACTTTCTGTACTATTAGCTTCACCCGACTCACTAGCATTTATAAACAAAACCTCAGCTTCCGCCATCTTGTCCCTCCTTATCTCTACACCTGTTGTTTTATGAAACCGAGAAACCGTTCTTCTTCGATGGGGTTTAACTGTGGTTGGCATCCAATGTTAATGGTGCATTACTGCCACCAGCTGGACGGGGTAAGGAATAAGAAACAAAACTAAAAAACATTTCGGGAAAGGGGGAAAACGACATCATACAAAATAAAACACGTCAACTAAGAAAACCCATCACACTTCTTCAATCACAGTCCACTCCAAAAGAGATCCCAACACAGGCTCAGGGGCCTGTGATGGGGGTACATTCACCGACAGGATTTCTTGCACGACCTCTGCTGTGAAATCACGAAGACCCAAAAAACGTTCAGCGGCATTCACAATGATTCCAATGTTCTTAGACTTCTTCTCCGCTTGTGCTGTACAGTTTATGTCCATTGCAATAAATAATACAAAGTCCATTTTTAACATGTAGCATTTCACTATCCCTCGGTTGATGAGAAACCTACACTGGTCGTGGTGGCTCCACTACCATTGCTTCTTCCCCGCCACTCGTTCCTTCCAATTTTCTCACCACCTCCAAATAGGAGACACGCTGGACACTCCTTACCCTTGCCACCTCATTCTCCTACACCCTAACAGGGCAGTCCAAGAATTCAGGCGCATGTTCACCTCCACAGTTGCAACAGTTCCCTTCATCTGGCATACGATATTCTTCCCTTACGCACACACTTGACACATGACCAAATATTTTACATTTATGAAGGGGCTTGTGCACAAAAGCTCTTACAGGGTATCTCATGAATCCTAACTTTATATGAGAAGGGAGAGTCTCTTCATCAAAGAACAGTAGCATGGATGAGGTTAATTTATTTTCTCCGTCCACCATACAGTTCAGTTGACGTGCACCAACCACTCCATCGATGTCTTCAGTTATATCCTCTGCCTTTATTCTTGCGCCACCCCAGAAATACCCCCCTTGATAGACGCCATGCAGGAAACGTTCAACTCCGTTATCTTTTTGAGTCTTAAAACACGCTTCTTCTGCTCCGCAGACACACAACAAATCAAAATAAGACCACTTCTTGTGACTCTCACCGACTCCACACTTTCCTCCAACACATTCCAGATTTTCCTGGAGACGTTAAACGGATATCCCAAGTAACATTGATCCAAAACCCTGACTCCGACCAAACACGACTCTAGTGGCTTCCTATTTTCCAACATAGCTTTACTTCTCTTGTTTCCCTTTTTCTTCGACACTGTAACCCACTCATTCTCACTTTCTGTACTATTAGCTTCACTGGACTTACTAGTAGTTTCAAACAAAACCTCAGTTTCTGCCATCTACCGGAGAAACCGTTCTAAACGTATGCTTCAGCTTTATAGCCCCTGTGACGTTCCTGGGTTACTCCTGTCTGTGGTAGAGCTCTTTATAGAACTACAAGTCGTCGTTTTTTCTTACTACAATGACCACAATGCGCACTGACGTTTTGCTAACACACCTCTCGCTCTGATTGGTCTGATTCTGTACAAGTCGGGTGAAGGTGAAATAGGTCCAACTGTGCAAAACAGTCCTCCGTTGCAGTTCAACATTATGTCATCAAGTGGACTTTTAACCATTCGTTCTGAACTTTGCAAGCGTTTGGTAAGTGGGGGTGACCAAAATCAATGTGGGGAAGCATTCGTTCTCATTTTATCGGATGCATGCACATGCTAGCAGGCTATTGTTGTTTTGACAGCCGGTTACAAAGAAAAGGCCTGCCATGTAACCTTAGCTATCTATCTGATATAGTTAGCTAGCTACTGCAATCCCTGTAATGTGTACGCTTGCTATCTAATGTTAGTTGGCTCCCAGAAATATATTGCTGTAACTACACCTCAATAATAGCAGTAGTAGCTAATCAGATTGCTAGCTGGCTGAATGTAGCATAACGTTCCTCCACCCCTCACACACTGACCATTGTTATGAAACAAAACAGTACCTACCTGCTAAAAGTCATATCCCTCCTCTGCCCTTCCAGGTTCACAAGTACCTGTCAAGGACCTATTCAACTCGCCCTTCTTTAAATGTGAGTATGTGACTGAAATGTTTTGGAACATAGTTGACCCTTTCCAGGATCTTTGCAGCTAACTTGACACATTGAAATGACTGAGTGAGTGAGAATGTAGTAAGCTACAAAAGGATTTTGCCAAACTTTGATGAGTCATTTCAGGAAGTGGTCATCGTCAGTGCCGTCCGCACCCCGATGGGGTCCTTCAGAGGGAGCCTGGCAGCCGTACCCGCCACCAAACTGGGCTCCATCGCCATCAAAGGAGCCATTGAGAAAGCAGGTATGAGTGTGATATGAAGCATGAAGACTTTACATCATTACATTCATTCACAGTAAAATGATTGACAATTACATGCATGTTTTGATACAGCAGTAGTGCTGAGCGATTAATGCTTTTTGAGAACGTTTCGGTTTGATTCTTAAAAAATAATCACGGTTTTCGGTTTCGATACATTTTTTTAAAACATAAATGCATTATGTGGGTTGTATGCTGTGACAGAATAAAACGTTAATAAAAGTCCCATGATGGTAGTGACTGCCCATTACTGCTTGTCACTTATTAGCCATCATTTATTTACATGACTTTACTTTAATAAAATGTTTCAGTTGTGTATATTACATTTGTTTTATTTGAGGACATTATTATTTCATTCCAAGTCATTATCTCATCTCTATAGAGCTGCTGCCTATGCTGTCTGACAAAATCACTATTTTAGTAGTTCTTCAAAGTAAATAAGGCATACTTTTATGACTGTTGAATACCAACTATCAATCACTTAGATCATGTATTTTCAGGTAGAGATACCTTGCGAAGCAACTGCTCTCTATCCTTTAATCGCACATTCTTCTGTCTCTTTTACGTAGCAGGCGTGAAAGAAACACAGACCGGACAAGTAGGCGTGCAATGGATTATGGTCATTGTCGTTAATTACCAAGTTTTCTGTGCTAAACTATGTAGAATATTGGCCTGTTGGAATCTACAACTCCCTACCACATCGCACAGTTTGGGCTTGATCTGATTTATCTCTAGAGAAACTGCTCAATGTGCACATTAAGCTCACAAAAAACCCGAACTAAATGGAATTCAAATAATTGAATTGACTTCGGTTAATCGCTAAGCAGTATACAGCAGTTAGGCTAGTAAAACAACATTGTAAATTGCATCTGAAATGTAAACCGCACAGTCCATTTTTTAAACCGTAAGATGTATATTGTGTGATGGTGGCCAGGTATCCCAGTTGAGGAGGTGAAGGAGGTCTACATGGGAAATGTACTGCAGGCTGGGGAAGGACAGGCCCCTACAAGACAGGCCCTGCTTGGCGCAGGTATGTTCAGAAACACACACACACACACACACACACCACATTATCAGGTGTGCTAATAGACTCTTCTACTCCCCCCCCCCCCCCCCCCCCCCCCCAGGACTGTCCTTCTCCACTCCAGCAACAACAATCAACAAAGTGTGTGCCTCTGGGATGAAGTCTATCATGCTGGCTGCCCAGTGTCTGATGTGTGGACACCAGGTACAGTAACATAACAGCTCACTGTGTTACCATAACATCACATGACATGACCAGACTTAGCTGCTATTACCCCTGGTCTGATCATGTGCAATATCACTGTGTGTTACTCTGTTTGCCAAAACATTATGTTAGGTAGGCCTATATGAGGTGCAACACTCCATGGAAGAACACAGGACTTTACTACATAACAAATATTGCGCTCACACAGATTACAGATGTCCGATGAAGGTCATTGTGACCAAAATATAACCATGTCGTTAATCTTTATCTAATAAACCCAGTATTTTTCTATGGAAAGTGTTGCATCATGTAACATAGGAATAATCTCCTTAAAAAGTGTTCAGGTTTTACCTGAGAAACAAAACTGGTTGCTGTAGTTTTTATTTCTCCCACTGACTGTGAATGTGTTAGGATGTGATGGTGGCAGGCGGTATGGAGAGCATGTCCAATGTCCCCTACGTGATGACTAGGGACACTCCGTCCTACGGAGGTGTGAGGATGGAGGACCTCATCGTGAAAGACGGCCTCACTGACGTCTACAACAAATTCCACATGGTATTTTCTCACTGTATTAAATATTTAAATAAAGCAAATGGTGTTCTCTATAGGAGTGTATGTGTTGGGTTGTTCTTGCTGACCACTGTCCAGACATTATTATTTCCATTCATTTGGAGACAGAGTAAGCAATGGTTAGTAGTTGAGTTCTTGAATTTTGAAGAGGATTACATGTGTTTTAATGGATTTTACTGTGTAGGGAAACTGTGCAGAAAACACAGCCAAGAACAGCCAGATCACCAGGGAGGAGCAGGATGCCTACGCCATCAGTTCATACAGCCGCAGCAAAGCAGCATTTGAATCAGGACTGCTTGCGAAAGAGATTGTCCCTGTTAATATCCCTCAGAAAGGTAAAGGATGGTATCCTATAACATATCACCTCAATAAATAATGGATATCTAAATAAACTAAACCAAACCATGTTACCATGTTTCTCCATAGGCTTATTCTCAGTTGTCAGATGCATGTAACTGACATAGTGTTGTTCCTCTGCAGGCAAGCCTGATGTGGTAGTGTCAGAGGATGAGGAGTGGAGGCGCGTGGACTTCAGCAAAGTCCCCAAACTGAGAGCAGTGTTCCAAAAGGAGAATGGTAAGTACCCTAGTCCTAGTTGATAGGCCTCTGAACTGGTGTCTGCTGCATGTTTGCTTATATATTACTGAGTAGGGGGGCATCTGAGCTTACAGAAAGCCAAAAATAGACATCAATTTCAATGTCTTTTTCAATGCGTCTGTTTTTTCAACTCTTGGGTCGATATCCTTTTTTCATGGTAGCCCAAGGTAATGGTAATCCATGATAATGGGCATAAAGCAAACGTCTTCAGAAATTTGCATAAGGACAGAGACTGACTCAAACACTCTCTGATGTGCTTGAGACAAACCTCTCTGTGTGCAGATTAAGTTGATTCTGACTGGTGATTTGGATTCCAGGCACGGTGACTGCAGCTAATGCCAGCACGCTGAACGACGGGGCCGCCGCTCTGGTTCTCATGACGTCCGACGCGGCAAAGAGACTCGGCGTCACCCCATTGGCCAGGATCGTCTGTAAGGCTCCACCCCCCACGCAGCCCAGTACCAGACTGTAGTTACGTAATGCTTTGGCACACAGCGTGTTTGTAGAGATAACAATCCAGGGGGATTCCCATGAACATCCTGAGCTCTGTCATTTCCTGGTTGCTAAAATTCTAATAGTTTCAATTTATGTGACAACACAAGCAAGTATAGTGTAGAGAATCATTGTACCATCTAAACCGCTGTGAAATATATTTTCAATAACCAAAAATATTGTATTTTCAGCTGTTTTGAAGCTGGTGTAAAAAAAGGTCAATTTAACAGGTTTTTTTTATGACACTGATGCCACGCAAGCGCTTGTACGTGCGCACACGGGGGGGTCTTGGATGGTTGAGGGGCAGCTCTCGGGGGAACTGTGGGGGATCTTGGATGGTTGGTAGCCTGGCGGTTGGGAGCTTGGGCCGGTGGCCGAGAGGTTGCTGATTAGGGTCCCCGATTTCACTTGCTGGGAGATCTGTCAATGTGCCCTTGGGCGGGGCGCTTGACCCTGGTTGTTCCTGTGGGTCGTTCTGGATGGGAGTGTCTGCTAGATGACCGAATGTAATGTAAATGTTGAGCGACTTCACTGCAGGTAGATTGTATGTTTTAAAAAATAAATAAAAACAGAAAGCATAGAAATAGCGCACATAGAACATATCTACAACTTAGACTTGCTTTTAATGAGAACGACAGATCTATAACTCACATTTCTATGTGAATTTGGTCCGGTCGCCCAAAAAGTTACATATTGCAGCTTTAACAACACTTTCATTGACAATCTGCTATTCATTTTACAATTCAGGTTAAAGTGATAAGCTGTTTAAAGAGCAGTATATCCCCTATATGCATTTAGCAACGGTGAACCGCCGCTGCTAAATCATGGCCGCCACTGTGGGATGGTAAAACGTTTTCATTGTAAACTTACACAATTAAGATATAGATATCAATAAAGATAAGCCCCTGGTTCAACCGTGATCTGGCAGAGTTACTCCACCTCAAGAATTCCATTTGGCGACTCGCTCGGCACACGCATACTCAGGCTGACTGGCTCTCGTTCAGGCAAATGAGAAATATATGCACTCAGGCTATCCGGAAGACCAAAGTTAGTTACTTTAAGAAGCAGTTCTCTCTCTGTGGGTCTAACCCCAAGAAGTTCTGGAAAACAGTTAAAGATCTGGAGAATAAACCCTCATCTTCACAGCTGCCCATGTCCCTTAATGTTGATGATGTGGTTGTTACTGACAAGGAGCACATGGCTGAGCTCTTTAATCACCACTTCATTAAGTCAGGATTCCTATTTGACTCAGCCATGCCTCCTTGCCCGTCCAACATTTCCTCATCTCCCACCCCGCGCAATATACAGTTGAAGTCGGAAGTTTACATACACCTTAGCCAAATACATTTAAACTCAGTTTTTCACAATTCCTGACATTAAATCCTAGTAAAAAATTCCCTGTCTTAGGTCAGTTAGGATCAGCACTTTATTTTAACAATGTGTAATGCCAGAATAATAGTAGAGAGAATGATTTATTTCACCTTTTATTTCTTTCATCACATTCCCAGTGGGTCATAAGTTTACATACACTCAATTAGTATTTGGTAGCATTGCCTTAAAATTGTTTAACTTGGGTCAAACGTTTCGGCTAGCCGAAACCTAAGTGTATGTAAACTTCTGACTTCAACTGTAGTTTTAAAGGTTATACATGTAACATTTCCACCTGCAACTAAAACCCAGTGTCAATCACATACCAGTAGCAGCAAAGGAATAGAAAGAGTAAAACATAATTTTTAGAATGCCTCGTGATGCTGCTAATCAGCTGTTACCGCAACTAGCCGGTCCAGCTGTTGTTGTCTCTACAACTTCTTGTATTACGATTGGGTCTCATTAGTGATGTTGACAACAATAGCAAAAACATTAGTAATACAAAACTTCTTCACGTACCTGAAACATATGTTTTCTGGATTATGATCAAGATGCAGTACTAAGGCATTTTAGGCATTTCTAAGCAATGGCGTTCAAAAAACATGAAGAAATCAAAATTATGGCTAAAATATGACATGTTGCTCCTGTAAATAAAATGTCTTAAAAGCTTTTTTATTCTTATTTTCTAGCTTTTGCTGATGCAGCTACTGCTCCCATTGATTTCCCCATCGCTCCTGCCTTTGCTGTACCAAAGGTGAGTCTGAGTGTTAATGGGACATTTCCAAATGTTTCAACTCCCTATTCATCAACATATGTGAAAATACAGCATTTCTATGTGTTGTTGTACAAGAGATAGAGGAAAATACGTTTTTACTAAGTTGTAGGCAATGCCTGCTCATCATTGGTTGAAATCACATGATGCACCCCTGATGATGCCAATGGAAAAATGTATCTTCCTCTATCTTTTTGACTACAAAACATAGAAACCTGCCTTTTCTCATACAGTATGTTGATGTTGGGGTAGTGCTGGAGATTGATATGAAGTTTTTAATTTATTTTTGATGTCCCTTTAACAGAATGACTGCTGTTGTGGTTGTTTCAAGTAACTTGTGGTTATCATCATCACTGTACCTTTAGATAATATGGGTTATCAGAGATGGGGACAGCAACATGACTCATGAATATAGCTTCTCGCAGTGCAAAAAATCATCTGTCTTTGTTAAATTCAATTGAATGACAGCACATATTTGCTATAAATGATCATGGATTTTCAGTCAACTTACCTGGTAAAATAATTAAAGAAATAAAGAAATTGACATGTTTATGGTCCTCAGGTCCTGGCAGCTGCAGGGCTAAAGAAGGAGGACATTGCCATGTGGGAGATCAACGAAGCCTTCAGTGTTGTGGTTCTGGCCAATGTAAAGATGCTGGACATCGACCCCAGCAAAGTCAATGTCAATGGAGGAGCTGTCTCCCTGGGACACCCTATTGGGTAAGCAGCATGATGATAAACAAATAAAAGCCTGATAATAAGGGGGGGAAAGACAGATCTTTGTGATGCTTACCTTCTGTCATTCTGTCAATCTCTCAGGATGTCGGGGGCGAGAATCGTGGGACACATGGTACATGCTCTGAAGTCTGGCCAGTACGGCCTGGCTGGGATCTGCAATGGTGGTGGTGGAGCCTCCTCTATCATCATCCAGAAGTTATAGGAATCTTTATCTTCTCTCTTCCCCTTAAAGATGTTATTATCAGACAAGCATATAAACTGCCTGAACTGAGCTGTTAAACCACTGTTGGATGTACATTTCATGTTTTAGACCATGCCGTATCACTCTAGATCATGTGTCTGACATGAACAAGCTCCAGTCCGGCAGCCTTACTGGTCAACTAACCTACTGTACACGAAAACTGATATGACTCTCATGTTTAAGTCACTCCTGTTTTTGATGAACGTTTGTTGCAAGAGGCAATTTATATTTAACTTTGACTGTAAAGATGAATAAATAGTTTATTATGAAAAAAGAGCCTTCTATCATTGGTTTCTTGTCTTCATTGTTATACATAAGACCTATCCTTACTGTAAATGTGTAGCCACTAAACAATGACCGTTTTTGTTGAAAGAGCTTTTCATGAAAAGATGTATCGTATCAAAACCTAGAGGTTAATATCATATGTGAAGGTAATATGTTTTATAATTAGATGGATACATTTTCTGAGGCCAACCCAAGAACACTTGGAGAGATGTCCAGGCAGAGATGACCGAAAGCTGCCTCAACTTGACAAACATCCCCTGAACCGATTGAGATGGAGAACATTCTTCAATGGCCTATGATCCTTATAGGAAGCGTCAAGTAGGTGGATACATTTTCATTATTTTTTACTTTTGAATAGGACATTTAAAAAAATGTCCTACTGTTGTTGGGTTTGGCCACAAGGGGGTGTAGTGGTCTGTCTGTTTCTAATAGTCAGAGGGCTTAGTCAAAGATTTTTAAGTAAGTAATGTAATTATCTTTGTCTTAGCCTTCTGAACACAAAGGCAGTGATTGGTGAGGTTATAGGCCTATGGCTTTTTAGATGTGCAATTTAAAGAACATTTCTGTTGTCAGTATTATAATGTTTGTTGTGATAAAGATGATTTTATCTTAGACACATCTCAACACCAGTATGTATGGATGATGGCAACTACTATAACATATGGCCACTTCGCTCTCCAAGTAATCGTAGGAAAATCTGTCTGTTGGTATTAAGATTGCCTCGAAAGCCCAGGCTTCTCGTATTCCAACAGCTGAGTCAATGAGACAAGATTTGGTAGGATAGAAGTGAGAAGTAGCCCAGTGTTTCTTTTAGATGTTTCAGTTTCATGCATGGGCATCATATCATAAGGAACTTAGGAAGTGACTTGCTGTCAGTAAAAACTTTTTTCCTTCATTACCTCAGTCCCTCTCATCCATGGTTATATTACATAAAACAACCAGTTGATTTACCTGAAAGAAGAAAGCAAATGTTCAGCCCACCAATGCCAAAGAACAGTCAAGTAGTTCTGTCCCATTAGGCCTATAGTGAATCCCCTTCTTTCCAGGCAGAGAACAGTCATATGGCATGTTAAATATTGACTAAGTACTTAGCTAGTGTATCAAAGTCCTGAGGCCATAAAGCTTCAGTGTGGAGACATTTCAAGTGAGTGTTGTGTGTCAATATCCTCTCAAGAACCTGGTCATAACACCTTGCCTGTTTATTGATTAACAGCCAAGAAGAAAGACAAAATGGGCAGAGAACAAGGGGCTTTTGTTTACACAGTAAGAACAATTATGTCATCTTTTCACTTCAATTTATTGATTGCCTTTAAGTTATCTATGAAGGAGAGGTGTTTAGTTATACATTATATATACTAAAGTATGTGGACACCCCTTCAAATTAGTGGATTCGAGTTCCAAACTGCCTCTGGAAGCAATGTCAGCACAATAACTGTTTGTCGGGAGCTTCATGAAATGGGTTTCCAATGCCGAGCAGCCGCACACAAGCCTAAGCTTACCATACGCAATGCCAAGCGTCGGCTGGAGTGGTGTAAAGCTCATGAAGTGCTTTGAGAGACTAGTCAAGGATCATATCACCTCTACCTTACTTGTCACCCTAGACCCACTTCAATTTGCTTACCGCCTCAATAGATCCACAGACGATGCAATCGCCATCACACTGCCCTATCCCATCTGGACAAGAGGAATACCAATGTAAGAATGCTGTTCATTGACTATAGCTCAGCATTCAACACCATAGTACCCTCCAAGCTCATGATTAAGCTCGAGGCCCTGGGACTAAACCCCGTCCTGTGCAACTGGGTCCTGTACTTCCTGATGGGCTGCCCCCAGGTGGTGAAGGTAGAAAACAAAACCTCCACTTCGCTGATCCTCAACACTGGGGCCACACAAGGGTGCGTGCTCAGCCCCCTCCTGTACTCCCTGTTCACCCATGACTGCGTGGCCAAGCAGGCCTCCAACTCAATCATCAAGTTTGCAGACAACACAACAGTAGTAGGCTTGATTACCAACAATGACGAGTCCGCCTACAGGGAGGAGGTGAGGGCTCTGGGAGTGTGGTGCCAGGAAAATAATCTCTCACTCAACGTCAACAAAACAAAGGAGATGATAGTGGACTTCAGGAAACAGCAGAGGGTGCACCCCCCCCTTCCCTATCCACATCGACGGGACCGCAGTGGAGAAATGGGGAAAGCTTCAAGTTCCTTGGCGTACACATCACTGACAAACTGAAATGGTCCACCCACACAGACAGTGTAGTGAAGAAGGCACAACAGAGCCTCTTCAACCTCAGGAGACTGAAGAAACCCTGACAAACCTTTACAGATGCACAATTGAGAGCATCCTGTCAGGCTGTATCACCGCCTGGTACGGCAACTGCACCGCCTGCAACCGCAGGGCTCCCAAGAGGGTGGTGCGGTCTGCCCAACGCATTACTGGGGGCAAACTACCTGCCCTCCAGGACACCTACAGCACCCGATGTCACAGGAAGGCCAAAAAGATCATCAAGGACATCAACCACCCAAGGCACTGCCTGTTCACCCTGCTATCATGCAGAAGGCGAGGTCAGTACAGGTGCATCAAAGCTGGGACCGAGAGAATGAAAAACAGCTTCTATCTCAAGGCCATCAGACTGTTAAATAGCCATCACTAGCACATTAGAGGGTGCTGCTGCCTATATAAATCCCTGGCCACTTTAAGAAATGGAACGCTAGTCACTTTAATAATGTTTACATATCTTTCATTACTCATCTCATATGTGTATATACTGTATTCTATAATATTATACTGTATCTTTGTCCATGCCGCTCTGTCATTGTTTGTCCATATACAGTTGAAGTCGGAAGTTTACATATACCTTAGCCAAATACATTTAAACTCAGTTTTTCACAATTCCTGACATTTAATCCTAGCAAACATTCCCTGTCTTAGGGCAGTTGGGATCACAACTTTATTTTAAGAATGTGAAATGTCAGAATAATAGTAGAGAGAATGATTTATTTAAGCTTTTATTTCTTTCATCACATTCCCAGTGGGTCATAAATACACTCAATTAGTATTTTGTAGCATTGCCTTTAAATTGTTTAACTTGAGTCAAATGTTTCGGGTAGCCTTCCACAAGCTTCCCACAATAAGTTGGGTGAATTTTGGCCCATTCCTCCTGACAGAGCTGAGTCAGGTTTGTAGGCCTCCTTGCTCGCACATGCTTTTTCAGTTCTGCCCACACATTTTCTATAGGATTGAGGTCTGTGATGGCCACTCCAATACCTTGACTTTGTTGTCCTTAAGCCATTTTGCCACAACTTTGGAAGTATGCTTGGGGTCATTGTCAATTTGGAAGACCTACAGTGAGGGGAAAAAAGTATTTGATCCCCTGCTGATTTTGTACATTTACCCACTGACAAAGAAATGATCAGTCTATAATTTTAATGGTAGGTTTATTTGAACAGTGAAAGACAGAATAACAACAAAAAAATCCAGAAAAACGCATGTCAAAAATGTTATAAATTGATTTGCATTTTAATGAGGGAAATACAGTGGGGAGAACAAGTATTTGATACACTGCCGATTTTGCAGGTTTTCCTACTTACAAAGCATGTAGAGGTCTGTAATTTTTATCATAGGTACACTTCAACTGTGAGAGGCGGAATCTAAAACAAAAATCCAGAAAATCACATTGTATGAATTTTAAGTAATTAATTTGCATTTTATTGCATGACATAAGTATTTGATACATCAGAAAAGCAGAACTTAATATTTGGTACAGAAACCTTTGTTTGCAATTACAGAGATCATAAGTTTCCTGTAGGTCTTGACCAGGTTTGCACACACTGCAGCAGGGATTTTGGCCCACTCCTCCATACAGACCCTCTCCAGATCCTTCAGGTTTCTGGGCTGTCGCTGGGCAATGCGGACTTTCAGCTCCCTCCAAAGATTTTCTATTGGGTTCAGGTCTGGAGACTGGCTAGGCCACTCCAGGACCTTGAGATGCTTCTTACGGAGCCACTCCTTAGTTGCCCTGGCTGTGTGTTTCGGGTCGTTGTCATGCTGGAAGACCCAGCCACGATCCATCTTCAATGCTCTTACTGAGGGAAGGAGGTTGTTGGCCAAGATCTCACGATACATGGCCCCATCCATCCTCCCCTCAATACGGTGCAGTCGTCCTGTCCCCTTTGCAGAAAAGCATCCCCAAAGAATGATGTTTCCACCTCCATGCTTCACGGTTGGGATGGTGTTCTTGGGGTTGTACTCATCCTTCTTCTTCCTCCAAACACGGTGAGTGGAGTTTAGACCAAAAAGCTCTATTTTTGTCTCATCAGACCACATGACCTTCTCCCATTCCTCCTCTGGATCAGCGTGCGCTGTAGGATTTTAATCCATGGCGGCGTAGTGTGTTGCTAATGGTTTTCTTTGAGACTGTGGTCCCAGCTCTCTTCAGGTCATTGACCAGGTCCTGCCGTGTAGTTCTGGGCTGATCCTTCAGCTTCCTCTTGATCACTGATGCACCACGAGGTGAGATCTTGCATGGAGCCCCAGACCGAGGATGATTGACCGTCATCTTGAACTTCTTCCATTTTCTAATAATTTCGCCAACAGTTGTTGCCTTCTCACCAAGCTGCTTGCCTATTGTCCTGTAGCCCATCCCAGCCTTGTGCAGGTCTACAATTTTATCCCTGATGTCCTTACACAGCTCTCTGGTCTTGGCCATTGTGGAGAGGTTGGAGTCTGTTTGATTGAGTGTGTGGACAGGTGTCTTTTATACAGGTAACAAGTTCAAACAGGTGCAGTTAATACAGGTAATGAGTGGAGAACAGGAGGGCTTCTTAAAGAAAAACGAACAGGTCTATGAGAGCCGGAATTCTTACTGGTTGGTAGGTGATCAAATATTTATGTCATGCAATAAAATGCAAATGAATTACTTAAACATCATACAATGTGATTTTCTGGATTTTTGTTTTAGATTCCGTCTCTCACAGTTGAAGTGTACCTATGTACTGAT